TAACAAAAGTTAATTTGGATTGCTGCCAGAAAATTTGCAATATTACAACCCTGCTTGTAATATTGACATTTGGAAAAGCACCTGAGCTAAGGATTCCTCCCACAAGTTCCTACTTTGCTTTGCCAGGGGTACCTTTTATATATTTATTTATTTTTATTTTCAACCATGGTGTACATAAAATACCAATTTCAGATGTATGGTACAGGAAAGTGGCTGAAAAACCACGCACTCTACAGAGTGATCCTGCCACTTACCAAGCACTCCCATGGCCCCATACCCAGTTATGTAGACATTATTCATTGTATTCCCCATGCTGCAATCCACATCTCGGTGATTATTCTACAACTACCAATTTGCACGATTTAACCCCTTCACCTTTTTCACCCAGATACTCAACCACCCTCCCCTCTGATAGCTGTCAATCTGTTGTCTGTATCTATTAGTCTGTTTCTTTTTTGTTTGTTTGTTTGTTTTGTTCAATAGATTCCACATATAAGTGAAATCATATAATATTTACTTTCTCTGACTTGATTATTTTACTTAGCATAATACCCTCTAGGTCCATGCATGCTGTTGCAAAAGGTAAATTTGTTTCTTTTTTATGGCCTAGTAGTATTCCATTGTGTAAACTGATAGATCCATGAGTTGCTTCAAAATTTTGGCTATTTTACATAATGCTGCAATAAACTTAGTAATGAATACATTTTTTCAAATTAGTGTTTCAGGTTTCTTTGGATATATTTCCAGAAGTGGAATTGCTGGCTCATCAAACAGTTCCATTTTTAATTTTTTAAGGAAACTCCATACTAACTTCCACAGTACCTGAACCAATCTGCATTCCCACTAACAGTGCTGGGGGGTTTCCTTTTTTCTACATCCTTGCCAAAGCTCATTGTTTGTTGATTTGTTGATGTTGCACATTCTGATACCAGTTAGGTAGTATCTCATTGTGGTTTTGATTTGCAATTCTGTGATGATTAGTGATGTTGAGTAAATATTAATGTGTCCATTGGCCATCTGTTTGTGTTTCTTGGAGACATGTCTTTTCAGGTCTTCTGCCCAGATTTAAATTGGGTTGTTTCTTTTACTGGTATTAAGGTGTTTGAATTCTTAAACATTTTGGCTAGTAACTCTTTATCAGATGATTATCTTCTTTCATCCAGTTTGTGGTCTTTTTTTTTTTCTATGTAAAAACCTTTTAGTTTGATATAGTTCCATTTGTTTATTTTTTTCCTTTGTTTCCCTTGCCCAAGGAAATATCTCAGAAAAAAATATTACTATGAAAAATGTTTGAGATTTTACTGCTTATGTTTTCTTCTTAGATTTTTATGGTTTCAAGTCTTACATTTAAGATTTTAATACATTTTGAATTTATTTTCTATATGTTATATGAAGAGGATCTAGTTTCATTTTTTTGCATGTATATAAGAGGGGCACTTTTCAAATAATCTCTTGGAGTTGACACTGCAAAAAGTTAGTGACTGCCACACTAATTCCTTCTAAGTAATAGGTGCTTTCTATCCTGCTCTTTATCTTTGACCTGGGATAGAGGTGTGGCCTTCCCCCTGCTCAGTTTGCATTGTGCTCTTTGTTTCTGAGATCTGTAAGTAATAAATCTTGTGACTTTATTTTCTTAGTTTGAATGTATTTAAATTTTGCCTTCAATTAAAGTGGACCCAGGTATTTCACCTTCCCAAAGTGGGTGCTCTGATGTTAAGAGAGCTACTGTTCAAACCCATGTTGGTGGCTTGTGTCCCCTCAGTCAGGTGACCAAAATCTGCATATTCTTAACACACTAGCTACAGCCTCCCCCCAACACAATTAGAGATGAGGATAGTTGTTGGGTACAGTTTGTAACCTCATGTAATAATTCTTATCTGTGACTGGCTCACTAACTTCCTTTCCCAGACCATTCAATTTCTCTAGGAAAGAACCACTGCTGGCATTGCTTTGTGCTACTTTGTATTGCTTCTGCTGGGTGTTGCTACAGATCCCCTCCCTAAATTGTCAATGCTGTAAAGGTCAGACTCCTCAGCAGAGAATAATCAGAAGTCTTCAGTCTGAGGTGGGTGTGTTTCCCATTTGTCATTAAACAAAACTCCACTGGTTGTCTGGTCTAGAGTTGATTGGCTATAATTATATGTGAGAGTATTGGTGATGAGCCAAGGTGAGCTAACTGGGATAATGGGGCTGTGTCTCTTTCTCCCAGTCTGAGACAGAGGTGTGAGCTATTAGGTCATGAGGGTCAATGAAAGTTTTCTCCTTATATTATTGACAGAAGACAAGACTGGCTTCTGGGCCCACTGGGACAGTGGTTGGAACTGAAGTGTTGATCTTGGAAAGTCAGCCCTAATCTGAAACATAAGCAACACTACCAGGGACATCACTGTGTCCTGGGCAGGAAAATGCTGCCAAGGAAAGCACTTCCTATGTTGCCGCATCCCTGTTGCTGTAAAAAATCATCCCCCAATCCATGAAATATCAGTTCCACCCTTGACATGGTTCAGAAAAACAAAATCTCTAAATAAGTTTCCTTGAGCACGTGATACCAGCTCCTCCCAAATCTCCAGAGGAGGTTTAAAAACTACTATACTTATAAGACTGCTGCTCAAATCACTTGGGCTATACTGAGTGTGACATCATATCAATGTGTTAAATCCCTGGTACTGAGTTCTTAGGGCTATTGTTTTCCCAAATATACCAGATAACATTGCACTGGTAACAGCATATGAGTTGGGAAAGAAGAAACTTCCTTACCAGGTGTTACCCATCACTATCCATTATACCAAAATGCCCAATGACAACCAATGTAAAGGAAAAATAGAAACACATAGCTATACCATGATAGAAATGCAAATTTTGTACAAAATTTTGTCCAAAGGGAAGAGATAAGGGAATCAATGGGAACATACAGGCAATTGGAACTGGCTTCAAGCTGTTGCTCACAGTAGCTGTGATAAAACAACTGGCCAGATTGGCCCAAACCCCACAAATTCATATATTGTTTGGAAAAAAAACCAAACAGGTATTGAGGGCATGTTTCATCATAAATGATCTAAGGAGTCTGCAAATTTGTCACCACAGTAAGGGCATTCCTGAATACATTTATCAACCAGAGAATGAGACATAGACTAAATGCAAAAGGGGATAGACTTTGAGAAAAACTCAACACCAAAACTTCAGAGTGCACAGTATTCTGAAAGAAGAAGTTATATCTCTCCTGACTTGGCTTTTTATGGCTTGTGTCATGGAGTGAAGGCGAGTGAACGACCACTGGAGCCCAGGCCAAATTAAAATTTAGGGAGCTTTTATTATTCTGCTGGCCAGCCAGGTGACTGCTCTGCCATTCTCCATGCAGGGAGACTGGAGAGCAGGCTCGACCCTTTGAGTAAGATCACTTTTAAGCACATTAACCACATCCTGTTTTTGCAGAACAAGCAACTCAAGACAAAACAGTTTTTCCCAAGCAATTTCCCAAAGTCAGGATCATGCCATTAACGAGCATGTTATTTACAGGGTCATCCTGTTCTTCAGAAAGCTGACAGTGTTCTATGAAAGAAGGCCTACGTGCTGGGAAGGGGGCATGAGACCATATCTGAAGGCCTGGCCTTGTGTCAGCACTGACAACTCTATCTGGGGCATAGTCCACGGCCTCTCTGAAAGCATGCTCAAACATTCCCACTCTCCAATATACCCCACTGGTTTTATGTACATGAATCAAATCATTGACTCTTTTAGGTCATTGTTGGTGAAGGAGTTATATTGACCCATGAGGACTATAAGCTTGATATAATTAATGCTCTGCTGAATAAAGTCAGTGGGCCTGTTTATAAGATAAGGGCCTGAAATGAGGTCCAGTTCTTATCTTTAGAGGGTCCGAAAAGTCCTGGACTCTATATTTTGCTGGGATGTCTTAAGCCATGTGATAAAGCCACGTCAGGATCCCATCGACCTTGACTGCCATGGGGGTGGTCCTTTCCAGGTAAAAGTCAGTTCTTGTGTGGCAAATTTCTTTACCCAAACAAAGTCACCAGGGTGGAAGGATGAACCAGATCAGAAGTTGGTATACCTGCTTCTAGACTTTTTTTCTGGGTAGACTGTAAAGCCTGTAAGAACTTGAGTAAAGATTGATTATGGATTTCAGCTTTTCTAGATTAGGTTTCCATGTAAGCTGGTAAGGTGGGTAGGTCAGGTCACTAGAATCTGTAGAGTCCCCACTGGTTTTAGGGCAGCCTCCTGCGCTGCTTCATCTGCAGCCTCATTCCCTCTTCTTCTGGGGAATCCCCTTGTCTCACATAGTTAGAGATGGAAAGACTTGATTAAATCTGGTAGTGCTAGTTGGCCCATTGTCCTTGCTCTGCTCATATCTGTCTAACTGCCTAATATATTACCTCAAGGATCCTGGCTCTGAATTCTTTTAGGAAAAACGGGTGTCGGTGGGCTCTTCTAGCTACTTCCTGCTGAGGCAGGTCAGAAGTTTCTCTCAGAGCCAAGAGATCCTTGCTGTCTGTCAGAGGGACAATGAGGCCTGGGCACAGAAGGAGGTAGGCTTGTGATCTGGTGAAGATAAATTGTAACAAATGGTCAGGTCGAAGGGAAAGAAAACTTTTCAGTTTTAATAACTTCTATTGAAATAGAATTTTTATCCTCAAAATTACCCCCATGTTTATTAAAAGGGCCAAATCAAGACTAATTTATCTATTGTATTTAATTTGGCCTGATTGCATATACATAACAAGAATGGTAACTGACTACCTTTGCCAGAATTTCATGAGTCAATCTTAATGTAATACCCCACAGGGCCAGGAACCCAAGCCATCCAGCTGCCATCAGGCCTGCCTGTAGTATCTGCTGAGTTAGGTGAAGTCCTCACCTGTTGTGGCTCTACCTGGGCCCATGCCCTAGGCTTTAAGGCCGATCTCAGCCCTCCTATTTGTCTTGGCTCAGAGAGTGTGTGTGTGTGTGTGTGTGTGTAGGGGGGTGATCCCACAGGGACACAGAGGCGCCCTTATTGCTCTCCCTTCTACTCTGACCAACCGCCAGTGATGGTAGGGTATGGGCCTGATGCTCCAGCAGCAGCTATTTTCAGGGCTACCAAGCAGAATACCAGGCTTTCTCCGTGACACTTTTATTGGTTTCAAGTCTTCAGAGTTCAGGCAGGGCTCTTTAAAACATGATACTTCAGTCAAAGTTTCTAGTCAATAAAACCACTGTTGGAAATTGTTCTTATTGAATTTATGCAAAGAAATTTATTGCCATGATTTATTAATTATTGCCAAATTTCATAGTAATTGTGTAAGGAGAAAAATATACTGACCTGCTTTAAGATCTGATTTTCCTTGTCAGTCCTTTTTACGAACTTTTCAAATTATAACAAATAGTAATGTTAGATTTCTTTTATTAGTCCCTCCTTAAGTACTTTGGCATAAGCTATTTACCCTTTGTTTAGGGAGGCAGAATGCAAATTACTTACTCTTCCTGGTTACTGGCCTGTATTATTTGATTTATTTTCAACATTTCTTTTCTCCTTCTTGTCTACATACACAACCTTCTATTAAAATCTGTCTAAATTAGCCTTTAAACCTTCTTTCTATGTCCTTTAAAAATGCATAACCTGCCTCAGACCTTCTACTCAGAATTCCTCATTCTTTGAAACCTCAATCTTTTAATGATTCCTAAAAAGCAAACAGCCATAATTTATTTTTGAGAGACAGAGATTTTTAAAACATAAACATTAAAGATATTATATCTTCAAGTTCCTTTGCTGAATATTCTGCCACTGCCCAAGAAGTAATAAAATGGGGCAGAGGAAGATCTACTGTGTTTTGCCAGCATAGTTCAGATAAACAAGAAACCAAGGATGCCAACAGAGTGGGTTGTAGCCAGTAAAATAAACAAAAACGTATCTCTCCCTGCCAATGCCCCCCTTTTCTATATTAACCATTTACTCTGTCCTTAGCAGGGGAAATAAGGCAAGAGGCCTGAGATCCTGTATAACCAGGTTTTTTACACTTAAGGAACAGCTGCTCTCCCCTCCCCCTCCCCAGATTTTCCTTCTTTACTCCAAAAGATCTCAATCTTTACCACTTCTGATATCTCCAACCATCCCCCAGCCTAGGGCTTCTCTGGCTTCTCTATCTCATCAGGCTGAGAGTGAATTCCATGGTCTCTACCCTTTCTCACACCTGCTCTGAAGCCGTTTTCAGCTCTCTTCCTCCCCCAGAGACCCACTGTAAATCTATCAGGAAGGGCAGGCAGGTCGCATTCTGGGGACCACATTATTCTCTGTTTGCTAGCAGGGCTGAAAAAGCAGCCTACAAAGCAGTTAATTATGACTAATCTTAACCCAACAAGCCTTTGTTTAAACTTCTCGGGATTGGCAACCTTTAAATTAACCCTAAAATTCCAAAATTTTAAACTAACACAGCAAACTTATAAATCAAGGAAAAGCAATTAAAAGTTCTCTACTGTCTTCCCCCTAAAGCGGGGTTTGCACTATCTTTCACACAGACTCTCACAATTACATTTCCTCCTGGAGGCCTGTCCAGCTCCCCCGGGCCCCAAACCCGGTCCATTCACTGGAGGCCAAAAGGTCAGCACACAGCAGCACTTCTGCACCAGCACTTCCCCTTTCCTGTCCTGCTCACAAAACTTCTGTAAAACAAAAGCATTAACGGAGGCTCCGTAGTCATCTGCTCACTGCTTGAATTCCTGAAAATTTTTCAAAAAACATTACAGGGGAGTACAAACAGAACATGAAGCAGACTGACCTATTCTAATGATAGAGACAATTAGACCGCAATAACACAGAATAACAAAGACAATGACAACCAACTGAGGATCGCCGGCACTGTCGTGCGCAGGGATCTGGTCTCAGAAGTAGCACTGCGTCCAGCCTTCCAGAGACCCTAGGCCTAGATGGGCACCCACAGAACTACAAATAAGTTTCTTACCAGTAAGAACCTGATCCAGGTGGCTCCGATCAGAGTCAATCAGAAAATTTAGCAGGCAGGGTTTCCAATCTCTACCAGTCTCAGGGCTGAGGAACGTCTCTCAGAGATCTCCCCATAGGTCGGAGAGTCGAGGGACCCTAATGGGCTTGTTGGAGAGTGGCAATTTTTGAGCATGCTTCCAGAGAGGCCGTGGACTATGCCCCAGATGGAGTTGTCAGTGCTGACACCAGCCCAGGCCTTGAGATAGGGTCTCATGGCCCCTTCCCAGCATGTAGGCCTTCTTTTATAGAACACTGTCAGCTTTCTGAAGAACAGGATGACCCTGTGAACAACATGGTCGTCAATGGCATGATCCTGACTTTGGGAAATTGCTTGGGAAAAACTGTTTTGTCTTGGGTTACTTGTTCTGCAAAAACAGGATGTGGTTAATGTGCTTAAAAGTGGTCCTACACAAATGGTCGCTGCTGCTCTCTAATTTCCCTGCGTGGAGAATGGCAGAGCAGTAGCCCTGCTAGTTGCTCGCCCAGCTGGCTAATAAAGGCTCTTTGCTTTTGCATCGGAGTCAGCTCCCTGGAGGTCCTTGGGGATCTTGAAATCTTAGCATAACAAGCTCTGGTCACAGGACCAGTCAAAGGCTGGTAATCTCGCTGGGGCATCTCCAAATGTTGTGGAGCAAAGGCGAGTGAACAACCACTGGAGCCCAGATCAAAACAAATTTAGGGAGCCTTTATTATTAGGCTGGCTAGCCGGGTGACTGCTCTGCCATTCTCCATGCGGGGAGTCCAGAGAGCAGCTATGACCCTTTGAACAAGATCACTTTTAAGCACATTAACCACATCCTTGCAGAACAAGTAACCCAAGACAAAACAGTTTTTCCCAAGCAATGTCAGGATCATGCCATTGACGACCATGTTGTTCACAGGGTCATCCTGTTCTTCAGAAAGCTGACAGTGTTCTATGAAAGAAGGCCTATGTGCTGGGAAGGAGCATGATTGATATTATGAACACATAATAATCTGGCCACTCAGTTTATATCCTATTTAATAAAAGGATAATATGCAAATTGTCCCCTTGACCATGACTTCAACCAGCAGGCAGGCCAGCCAATTGCCCATGTCCCCTCCCTCTGGACAGGCTGACCAGACCCCACCCATGCATGAATTCATGTGTTCAGAGATCATAATAATCTGGCCACTGAGTGTATATATAAAAGAAATATATATAACAGAGACTTGGCTGATAGCAGCTGCCCTCTCACTGCAACAAGACTTGTTTGAGAGGTCTTGTACCCATGGTGTGGGCAAGTGGGTTTTTAATATCCAAGTCCAGCCTAGTAGCAGGAATGCTCAGGCCCTTCTCACAAAGGCAAATAAGCATTTCTACTAATACACATATGGTAAATAAATACACGGCTAATGGAAATAAACTAATATTCTAGAAAAACTGATTGTACTGCACAAAAAGCTGTTCCTAAAGTGTTAACAAAAATTCTTATTGGCAGAGCGTCTCATGGTAAACTTGTATAACATGTAATGAACCTAAAGCAGTCATAGTTTAGAGCAAGTAATTAAAATGTAAAAGCTATCAAGACCACTTTATAGCCGAAACCGGTTTAGCTCAGTGGATAGAGCATCAGCCTGTGGACTGAAGGGTCCCGGGTTCGATTCCGGTCAAGGGCATGTACCTTGGTTGCGGACACATCTCCAGTAGAGGGTGTACAAGAGGCAGCTGATCGATGATTCTCTCTCATGGATGTTTCTAACTCTCTATCCCTCTCTTTTTCTCTCTGTAAAAAAATCAATAAAATATATTTTTTAAAAAGACTACATTATAAAATTTCCAAAAGCCTCCTATTATTTAGATTAAAAAAGGGGGTGACCGTGGAAGAATATCATGTAAGGAAAAATATCTTGTGAGTAAATTACATCTACAAATTTGTACTTAGGCCGAAACCGGTTTGGCTCAGTGGTAGAGCGTCGGTCTGCGGACTGAAAGGTCCCGGGTTCGATTCTGGTCAAGGGCATATACCTTAGTTGTGGGCACATCCCCGGTAGGGGGTGTGCAAGAAGCAGCTGGTCGATGTTTCTCTCTCATCAACATTTCTAGCTCTCTATCTCTCTCCCTTCCTCTCTGTAAAAAATCAATAAAATATATATTTAAAAATAAATAAATAAATAAATAAATAAATAAAAATTTGTACTTAGGAAATTAACCTTCATTTGAAAGGCTAACAGCAAGATACCCATGAAAATACACACATGGTGTCAAAACAAGCCAGAGGAAAATCATTTGGGGGGAAAAAATGAAAAAGGATCCAAGTCAAATTTATAAAAAATATTCCTTTATTAACTTTTGGTTGAGAATATGTTTGTATATTTTCAGAAAACAACTCTGAGACCATCTGGATTCCTGTAACAGAGAGGAATAGACAGGAGTGCTCTAGCCATGAAGACAGAAGAGAAACAGTTCAGAGATGAAAGACACTGACGTCACCTTGCCATACTAGCAGACAGCAGCTGTGTGTCACTGAAGGATGCCCAAGACCAAACCAGAGACGGTTGGACCTGCATCACCACCGTTTGTCCACCAACCAGATCTGAAATATCATGGCTGACATGTACACATAAGAAACTCTTTGACATTGGAATTGGGACTCAAGAGAACTATTGGCCCAGAAAGGAACTCACTACAGACTGATTCATTTGCCTTTCAGCATAACCATTATGGCTTGTCTCAGTTTTGATTCTTACAAGGTTATTTCTTGGATCACATGATCTCACACATCTACAGGAAATAATGAACAACATAAGATAATGAACAAAAACAGACCCAGAGAAAGAGAAGCACCACCGATCAGACTCTCAAACCTCAGAAGCAAAGTAGGGGAGGGTGAGGGTAAAGGGGAGAGATCAACCAAAGGACTTGTATGCATGCATATGGGCCTAGCCAATGACCATGGACAACAGGGGGTGGGGGTATATGTGGGGAGGGGTTTGGGATGGGAATGGGGGGATGAAGAAAATTATGTGATACCATAATCAATAAAATTTTTAAAATGATGATAATAAAAACATATATATATTTATTTATATAACCTTCCCCTTCTTTAATCAATCAATCTATCCCTCTACTTGTTTATTATTGGAGAAGGAGAATAGAGAGTAGGTAGGTCTGAGTTGGTGACTGGAGTTAGTTAAGTTATTAGTAGAAGAAGAGAACAAGCGGGGAGATGAAAAACAGAAGC